ACTATGGATTCTCGACCATGCTTAACTGTTGGTCAGGTGTTCTTTTCCTTGTAGGCTTCATTGTGCCGTCTGTAAACAAACTGTTGGTGTGCATTGCCAAAAAGCTCTATTTTTGTTTCATCTGTCCACAGAACATTTTCCCAGAAGGATTGTGGTTTGTCCAGGTACTCTTTGGCAAAGATTAGTCATTCCTTTTTATGTCTTTTCCTCAGCAATGGTGTCAATGGTACTTGTTGAAACCATGACCCCAGACTGTTCCAGGTTGGCCTTCAGGTCTTTGGATGTTTGACGTGGTGTTTTTTGTCCACCATTCGCACCAACCTTTGCAGACTCCTCTCATAAATTTTTCTCTTCCTCCCACGTCCAGGGAGGTTCTTGACAGTTCCATGCTTGGCAAACTTTTTAATAACATAACACACTGTTGAAACAGGGATGCCAAGGTCTTTGGAGATGGCCTTATACCCTTTGGAGGTCTTGTGTTTGCTAATTATTGCACTTCTGATGTCCTCAGCCAGCTCCTTTGTCTTCACCATTGTGACAAAGGAACTGGGGATAACAGTTGGCTTTTTAAAACACGGAAGTCATCATTCATTGGCTAATTCATGTCACATGGGCACAGACAATTTATCTAAGGTGATTCTCATTTGTGATTTACCACAGGTGAGTCACAATGTGTTTCCATACTGATTTACAGCAAAGGGTGCCAATACCAGTGACACAGGAAGCTTTAAGATTTTCTATTTTTTTCTCCCATTGTTTATTGTTTTAAATTGTTATTTATCATTTGCTCTTTTCTTATCAATCACAAGTTCTCTATAGAACAGAATTGTTTCACTTGATTCATTTTTTTCAGAAGATATTCCACATTATGTACTTAAACTTCATGGGTGCCAATAATGGTGAGCAGGACTGTATATAGATTTAATGCTATGAATTTCACTTTCAACAGTACCTCAAAGCATGCATTACAACAGTCACACAAAAGCGTGTTGTTCTTTTACTTTTTGTACAGGGGCAAATAATAGGACAAAAGTAGGAACATTTCCCAAAAATGTGTCACCCTCTGTTACATAAAACAAACCTATAAGAAATCAAAGGTCACTTGTATCAGGCTTAATACATGTGGTATGTCGGCCGCTGAAAGTGCTTATATTACTTAACCTCTTCTGCTTTTCATGACAGGGAAGTGAAGAGACGGTTCACCACAATCTCCTGACCAGCCAAGTAACGGACCAATACCGGGAAGACTGGCTTTCTATTCTTTGGGTGTGATGTTGTTTCTTTGGGCTTTTCTTACATGTGATGTGGAATTTTGGTAATTAATAAGTCCTTGTACTGGTATCTACTTCGCACTGGAATTTTAGATTGTTTGGATCTGCTTGGATCTGCTTAGGTGATTAGTTCCTCTAAAATAATACTATAGTGCCTTCAACTAAAAGATGAAAGTGATTTTTAAAAATGTGATTTTTTAAATATGTAATTATCTGTTATTTAAGATACCCAAGCACAATGTGGGACCACAAAACAACATTTCTCATCTTATTTGTGCCTGGTACGTTTACTTTATCCACTTAACTATATGACATTAAGTAGATGTATGTAGATGTATGATATCAGAATGATAAAAAATAGCATGCAGTTAGCCATAGTTTAAATTTTAAAATTATATAGTAATATGTACAGTTGCAGGAAAAAGTATGTGAACCCTTTTGAATTACCTCAGTTTCTGAATAAATTGGTCACAAAATGTGATCTGATCTTCATCTAAGTCACAACAATGGACAAACACATTCTGCTTAAACTAATACCACACAAACAATTATATGTTTTTGCTGAACATACCATGTCAACATTCACAGTGCCGAGTGGAAAAAGTATGTGAACCCCTGGGCTAATGACTTCTCTAAAAGCTAATTGGAGTCAGGAGTCAGCCAACCTGGAGTCCAATCAATGAGATGAGATTGGAGGTGTTGGTTAGAGCTGCCCGCCCTATAAAAACACACAAATTCCCATGAAGCTTTGGCTGATGTGAACTATGCCTCCACCAAAAGAGCTCTCAGAAGACTGAAGATTAAGAATTGTTGACTTACATGAAGCTGGAAAGGGTTGCAAAAATATCTCTGAAAGCCTTCATGTTCATCAGTCCATGGTAAGACAAATTGTCTATAAAGTTCAGCACTGTTGGTACTCACCCTAGGAGTTGCGTCCTGCAAGACTTACAGAAATCTCTGGAACATGCTAACATCACTGTTGATGACTCTACGATACGTCGAACACTGAACAAGAATGGAGCTCATGGGAGGACACCACGGAGTAAGCCACTGCTGTCAAAACAAAACACATTGTTGTCTTAAGTTTGTGAAAGAGCACCTGGATGTTCCACAGCACTTCTGGCAAAATATACCATGGACAGATGAAAGTCAGATCAAAGTTGAGTTGTCTGGAAGGAACAAAAAACCCTATGTGGAGGAAAAAAGGCATAGCACAACAACATCAAAACCTCATCCTAACTGTGAAATAAGGAGGTAGGCATGAGGAGTCAGAAAGTAGGTTTCCAAAAAATATAAGTTTTTATTTACAAAACACTTTTATGGGCCCATAAAAGAGGTCAACTAAACAGAACTTAACTCAGGTTACATAACCTTAACATAAGCTGAAGAAAATACACCTAGACTAATTAAACAGACCTAACAAGACTGAGACATGGGGGAAACTTAGTGGTTGGTCAGGCCATTTTGACACAAAGGGGTAGACATACACATAATATATAAACCACAATAACTACAACAAATTTCAAGACAGTTCTACCTAATATGAACTAATGGTAAATCAATCAAATAATTATAACAACAAAAGTAGAACTAGCAAAGAAAAGAAAACAGCTCTGGGGCAGCTCTGGCTGAAAAGCTGGGGATAAATCGGTGATGAAAACCTGCCACCCCCAGGAAGGACCTCAGATGCTTCCTGGTTTGAGGCAGGGGGCAGGACTCCAGTGCATGTACCTTGTGAACTTGTGGTTTGATCACTCCATTTCCAATAATGAAACCCAGATACTCACTTTGCAGGGTTAATAGTCATGCCCGATGATTGCAGGCGCTCCAGCCCTTCCCTCAGGTGCTTGAGATGCTCCTCCCAAGTAGCACTGTAAATCACAATGTCATCAAGGTATGCACAGGCATAGTCATCACATCCAAACAATACCTGATCCATGAGCCTTTGAAAGTCGCAGGGGCACCATGCAGTCCAAATGGCAACACTGAAAACTGGTAAAGTCCCCACGGGGTCCGAAAAGCAGTCAACTCCCTGGATTTCTCAGTCAGAGGTACTTGCCAGTAACCCTTGCACAGGTCAATGGTGGTCAGGTATCTTGCTTTGCCCAGGCGCTCAATCATGTCATCAATATGTGGCGTTGGAGAGCAATCAAACTTTGACACAGAGTTCATATATCTGACATCAATACAAAACCGTATTGTAGCATCCTTTTTTGGAACCAACACCACTGGATTACACCACTCACTTTTTGAGCTCTCAATAATCCCCAGAGACAGCATCAGGTCCACTTCTTTTTTCAGGGACACCAGGATCCCGGGATCCTGTAACTCAGTCGTTTAACTGGAGCCTCCTCTTTTAACACGATATCATGCTCCACCATATTTGTCTGACCTGGGTACTCTTGAAGATTACATAAAGCTTTGGCAGACAGGACCAACAATATCCATACCAAGATGCTCAAAGGGAGTACTAACAATGGGGAAGGGTTGGAGTGGAGCTCTTCATGGTCTTCTGGCACTGAGGGCAAGTCCTACAAAACTGCACAACATCTGCCCGCAAACCAGGCCAGTGAAAGTACTGTCTAACGTGAGCTAGGGTCTTTGGCTTCCCTAGGTGGCCAGCCCAGGGAACAGAGTGGCCCAAGAGAAGTATGGTGTCTCGGGCCACTTTGGGAACCATGGTCCATGATAGAGAATACCATTCTGCAGGAAATACTCCTTCCCAGAACTGTACTCAAACTCACTCCTCCTCACAAGGGGGAATCATGGTTTGGGGCTGCTTTGCTGCCTCAGGGCCTGGCAGGGTTGCTATCATTGATGGAAAAATTAATTCCGAAGATTATCAAGAAATTTTGCAGGAGAATGTAAGGCCATCTGTCCGCCAGTTCAAAGTGTTTGGTTGAGGTTATTGCTGCCAACTAGTTATTTAATCCAAGGGTTTACATTCTTTTTCCACCCTGCACTGTGAATGTTTACACTGTGTGTTCAATAAAAACATGAAAACATTGTTTGTGTCGTATTAGTTTAGGCAGACTGTGTTTGTCTATTGTTGTGACTTAGATGAAGAATTTATGCAAAAATTCATGTAATTCCAAAAGGTTCACATACAGTACTTTTTTTTCCTGCAACTGTATAATTAAAAAGTATTATTAACATTAACAAACTGTCGGTGTGCTGGTATTTTAAGTTTGATGGGCCACTAATGTGTGTTCCAAGTGCTGTAGGACAGAGTTTTAACCTGTTTATTACACCTGGCAAAGAGCTGTCATCACTTTTGGCTGAATTTTGTTAGTTCAGGGAATGAATCCTAATCAAGTGGGTGCATTCACCACATCAAAAGTGATGGAAGAAGTACTGAGATCTTTTTATTAAATAAAGTTATATATATATTTATAAAATAAAAGTACTCATTATGCAAAATTGCCCACATGTTTATTATATATCAAGACAAATAAATATATTTATAGTTTTTTTTTACTGGATGATTTTCATTGAATCATTTACGTATACATGTAAGCAGCAGTTTAATACTGTCAAGGTACAGCTATTGTAAGTTTATCAACTTATGCTGTAGTTGAATCTATAATAATGCACATTCTCTAAACTGTTTCACTTATAAAATATTGATCTGAAAAGTAACTATTAACTACAACTGACAATTCTCCACAAGTTGACATTGCTTTATTTTAAAGGGTCACAAGTCAGAAAGACTGGGAAAAACCGTACTAGACCAACCTAATGCTTCTCACTGTGACGTCAGAGGAAAACATTACTGGCAATGAAGATACCACAAGTGTTGTTAACTAATAGCAAACACATCTGCCGTTTTTGTGGTTTAAAAGACAAATTTCCACATTGTGGACAATAAAGACTATTGTGTATTTTATTGTATAAGTTAGCACTTAATTATCAATATACAGTATTTGAGATTCTCTCAGGGATTAAAACAAAGCATATTGAGGAACTTCGTCTGAGAGTTTAGGTTTTGATTACTGTACATACAGTAGTAAGTAGTAATTCTGAATAGCCATAGCCATAGCCATTACCTCATTTACATTAGTTTAATGGCTTTGTAGTTGTTCACCTCCATAGGTGCACCAACATGAAGGACAGAGAAAGCAGGTGAGAGATGTGAGAACACAACACAAAATCTACATGTGTCTTGGCATGTTACAGAGGAAATACCATGCATACCCTATCTCCTCCTAGAGAACAGGCAACAGACAACTTAGTTCAAAATGTTAGGAAAGTTTCTTCTAAAAGCCACACTCTCACCTAACTGTTTAGGGAAACAACATAAACCTCTGAGCAGATTTACCACTGTTGTTTATTGGTCAAATAGAAACAACAGGTTTCTGTTCTCTACCAAAAAGGTACAGGGTCAGGTGCTTAGGGCATATGGTACAGGTCTGGCTAAATGCAATACATCGTCATATAGAAAACTTTGTACAGTTTCAATAGAGACTTCAGAAAAAACTTTGATAATGTTCCTGTTCAATTTTAAAAATCAGGAAAAAGCTGCTGATTGTAGCTGTGAAAAAAATTAAAATCCAATATTCAGCTAAAGGACACATGAGGTAGTGACAAAAAAAACCCTTTTAAATCTCATTTTATTTGTTCACTTATCATTAGGAATAGTTACATATTACAAACACCTTGATACAATATTATATAAATATATAAAAAGCTTTTAAGTAAATCGAGATGTCCAGTTTTGGGATTGTGTTTCTTCTGTTATGCTCATTGTTTGTTTTTACGATGTCTGTTGTTTTTCTTCTTCTTGTTCTTCAGTCTGCGATGGAAAAATGGACATTTGTGTGAAATAACTCCCAATTTTACTCCAAGCAAGCTAGTAAAATATATTCATAACAGAAGTTACAACCACGTCTACATAGTGTGAATTCCTGAGATCTAGCCTGATGCTGTCAAGAAGGTATCTCCCACTTTTCCAGGGGGAGGCACTGACCTTATGTGGCTCCACTCGCTCCACGGTGAGTTACAGAGAGCATCCTTGGCTCGGACACAGACGGCCTTAGTCTTGCGCTTGACTTCAAACTGACAAATGTCTGTAGAGTGGGCTGTCAAGATCTAAGAAGTAAAAAAAAAGACATCAAGTCATGCAACATTTACTCTTTCTTTCGATTTGTGTGCGCAGTTCTTTTATGGCTTGTGGGATTTCCTGTCATTTGTCTGAACTTTTGTTATTATTTTCACTCTGCTTTAGTTCTTTAAAATACAAATTACAAGGTGCATGGCAATCAATAGGGTCCTCTTACCTTTGTGGCTTTTGAGTCAGTGCACGGGTTGTCACACTTTTCACATCCCTTCTTCAGCTGTGCAATCTGGAAAGTGAGGGGGAAGTAGGAGAAGGGACTGCTCCAGGATCTTGGGTAACTCCACTCTATCATCGTAGTGTTGACTGTACTGATCATCACCTTGTCAGGTTTCACTATCGAGTGTAAAAGCAAAAGACAGGGCGGAATGAAAACAAAGACAGGAGGAGAAAGACAAGAAAAACAAGTACATGGAAGTACGGAGTTATGTACAGGAAAAGAAATCTGTCTCCCGGAGATGTCTCACCTATCTCTGACAGGTAAAAGTGTTTCGAGTAGTTTTCCACTAGGAAGTGCTCAGTCTTCACGTAGACACTGATGTGGATCTGTTGACTCTCCTCAGTATAGGGGCAGTGCTGCTTGTCCAAGCACAAGATCCTGTGTCCGCTGTCGTCCACTGAACAGCCAAAGTGTCTCTGACCTGAAGAGCATGTCCAACGCTGACCACTGGTATCCACAGAGCACTGAATGTCATTGCTGTCAGTGACACTGCAAAATAATAATAATTTTTTTTTTTTTATTGACACGACACACTGATTTTGTGGAGGGTTTTTTCATGGCAAGAAGCTGTAACAACTTCTCATGGACAAAAAGCTGAAGGAGCAGATGCTGATTAAAGTATTACATAGTATAAAGTAGAACCTATCGTTCAGGAGCATTTACAGCTGTATTATTGTTAAATAAAAACTGATCCAAAAAAGCACTTTGTTATGTTTCCTCTCATAAGGAGGCATTTATGGGCGTCGCTGTGTAGTCTCAGCTCTGACATGGCTCCGAGCACTGTGTTATTACTGGAGAGCGAAACAGAAAACATTTCAGCAGTTTGTGAGCTTACCGTCGAGCTTTGATGAATGCTACTTTGCCAACACGTCTGCTGTGCCAGGTCCAAGAGCAGTGGAACTCTCCGTTGTAATTTTGAGCCGAGCACTTTAAATAATCTTCTAATGAGATAACGGCACGTAAACATGCAGAGATGGGAACACAACAAACAGACAAGACCCAATTTGTCAGTGGAAATTTCTAGCTGTTCTATTCAGTGCAAAGTTTTTAATTAGATCATACCTTGGTCAGATTTCACAAGAATCTTCCTCCTCTTAGTTTCTTCCTCTTGGATCAGGATCACAGTATGATTGAGGAGTGATCCGTCCTCGCTGTGGCAGGTGTAGTTGCCCCCTCCTAAGCTTTCCTCCAGCTGCACCAGATATGAGTTTCCTCTCTGCGCTTCCTGTACTCCATTCTTCCTCCAAAAAATATCCTGACTCTTAATGTCTCTCCTCGTAAGCTCCTCTGGCGACTCCAGGCAGCTCAGGGGCTGCTGGCCCAAAGTGCCGTCCACCTCCACAACCAAAGCTAACATGAGGACACACAGGAAGAGGTTATGGATGAACTGTTTAAACTTGGATTGATAAGTGTGTTTTCATGGAGATCAAACATACTGTGGGGCAGCAGAGTCCAGTGGCTTGTAGGATTTTGGCAACTGACTTGCAGAAACGCACACACAATGCCGAAAACAAATAACTTCATCTGAATAACAAAGAGAAGACAGAGAGCAAGAAAGTGAGGTGGCGGAAGTGATGTGAAGAGGGCAAATAAAGAAACAGAGAGAAAGATCAAATGACCAAAATCAGTACTCTTGCACATAACATATTGAGTTAATAACACAAAAGCCATAAAAATGCACTTGTAATTAGTCAATACAATCATTTACGTGCATAAATTCAAAATCATGGAAATTACTCGAAATAACAGTACATTAATAAACAAAAAACAAAATAAAAGCAACACAACTCAAAAACCAATTGAGAAGTGGAAAACCACAGCTCACAGAATGAATATACCTACTTTACAAATTCACACAGATTTCCATTTAAATAGTGAAGATCAACACACATGTTAAACTCAGAGTAACAAAGAACCACTAGCGATGTTCTTATCCATGAAAACCCAAAACAAACCAACGCCAAAAATGTAGCATAAAGTTTCATCCGCATGCAACCACATCCGGAAAAATAAATAAATCAAAAAACTGCATGTATGCCTCCAGAAAAGAAAAACAAATCGAAATATTCAGTACTTGTTTATATAGACCTAACTTACATCAAATGTCCATCCCCAGAGCATACTAAAGTAGAACCAGCTAGTTAGCAACATAAGTCATAATACCTAGTTTACTATATACGTGTTATTTACATTAAAATTCATTCATTTTAAACCTGCAGTTAAAAACTGTTTTAATTCCAACTTTTTTGTATAAACAAAGTAATAGCCAAGGGTTATTAGTTGCGCCGATAAGCTACTCATGTAGACTAGAGTATAAAATGAAAACACGGAGCGGTGTCAGATCCAAGCCGGCAGCAACTTCATCGTCTTTTATTTACACCAGACTGTAGTTAAGGATTTACACAGAGTGCCCGCAGCAGCCCATCATAGATTCACTACATCCGTTTTCCATTTTATTACTTCATAATAAAAGCCCATACCTTGCGAAAAGCGCTTAACAGTAGGCACTCAAACTCACTCAGAGCATGTCGCCAAAAGGCAATTCAACAAAATATCGTACACAAACAACCGTTTAACAAATCAGCCCAAAGTCATCTTACCTTTACATTTATTTCCAGAATTAATGGCGACCCTACGATTGAGAGCGCCTTTTATGTGAGTGACTGGCATTTAAGTATTTCCCCAAATCGCCTCGTACATTCGTCCAAAAAGTCCAACTTCGCTTTCTATTTGTTTACATGAAAAGAGGTATTCATAATCCTCTTTAACTCACTTCCACCATGAGCCTCGCTGGCTGGTATCATGTTACATGACATTACTTTCACGAAATCACCTGGTCAATATTACAGAGATGCTATGAAAGATTTAAATAAAGGTGATATTGGGCCTTCTATTATAATAGGCATTATTTGGGTTGAATTGGAGGAAATTATTAGATTTGAAAAGGGAAAAAAACTACTTTTACCTTAAAAGTTCAGCGTTTTGAAATACAGTGGGACTTAAAGTTAAATGGCTTGAGCCCACCAGCAGCAACAGCAAAAAACTTCCGGCCCCAAATCCTTCACAATAAAAGGGTATTATCTACAAATGCTGGTGATAACTGAACGCAAAACACTTTAATTTGTCACAAAACTGCACGGCGAAAACATTTTTTTAAATCTCAATACTTTATACTCACACTATTATTCAATCTGTAAACCTATTGGAAAGAAACTACAGCCACGTAAAAGTGAGTCATGCTGACATTTTGAGACGAAAGTGTCCACTGTCATTGTTATGTGCAAATGTCAAAACACTCCTCGTAGCTCGTGACCTGTTGCCACTATTTACTAAGTCACTACTGTATTGACTTGTAAGCCTATGCAGCCTCGTATTTTCATTATGAAAACTAAAACCTAAAACCAGAACCTGTGTTAGTTAAAATTCCAATTTCTATTTTTTATTCCAAAGGATTTTAACAGCTTGATGTCCAGGATCAAATACTACATATCTTTGGCATTCTGTAATATTTACTTAACAAGGAGGAGGAACAATATTTGGGATAGCATCCTATAATATCATAATATGTTATGAATCCTTGTAGTATCACAATGATGTCACAAAGACAAGTTAATCTGCATTCCATTTAGTAGTATGCACAGGTTTAGCAACCCTCAATTCTATGTCGTGTTTATTTACAGCTACAGAAAACTCTGTCTTGAAAGTCATCATAGAAAGCAATCAATACAGTAACAAAATAAATCACAAGAGAACAGGCTTTGTATTACGTTTATGGAAACCGTAACAACCCAGTGTCCGCAGCACTATCATCCTTAGAGCATCACTGAGAAACAAAACTTCAATGTGAAACTAGGGAAGGGGAAGAAGATAAAATAAGCTTGCCAGGTCAAAGAACGGTGTCACATCCGGAAGGTTGATAATAGACAGATATGGGGCAATGAGACTGAGATATTAACAATGAAAAGAAACATGAGCATGTCAGAAGATGGGACTTGGCGCAACCAGGTGAACAGACAAAGGACTGGATTCCTCAAGGCTCATTCCTTTATAATGTTAGGCCAACGACCATGCCACAATGAGAGATTATTGCTCATACACATTGCAAAAGTAGTTGAACCAAGCAACAAAATGCATACACGCACAAACTACAGTTTGAGGAAATAAGTAAATGATTGCAGTGATGTGGATACTAAACTTAGTAACTAAAAATTGAAAAGTATTGTCACAAATGTCACTTTATCAACTGTGAAGGCATTGCTTTCTTTTAGTTATTCTTTCTTTGTGCATTGACAAATTCGAATGAACCAAGTTTTGAGTTACCCAGATTTCCCTAAGCACTGTTTCGTTTGTGCCCGGTTGTTAAATCAGGTTTTGAGGGATCAAAGTTCTGTAAAAGTTTTATGGGTCTCTCTCTGTACTTTACTGTTTAGTATCCATTGATTTGTTTAGACTCAACACACCTGTGACCTAGCAACAAAGTAAACACAAAGGAACATAATTACTGACCAGAATCTTTTCATAAAATGATCAAGGACGATTAAACTGAAAAAGATTTTTAAGTAAAACTATAGTATAGTGTATGTGATTTCAGGCCGTGTGATAAACATGCAGCGATGATATTTTTGGTCTCAGACTCATTCTGTTTGTGGTTGGTTATACATTGCAGAGCTCAAGCAGAACATGAACTTGTTATGGCTTTTATCTGCCTTCTGTTCCCTTTTGTAGCAAGGTTGTAATGTGCATGTATACATGCTTTTTGGGTATGATACTCCTTAGGCACATTCACTAGGGTTTTTACTTGCTTATGGGAAAATCATGTCTTTTAGTTAAATATAATAATCTTACAGAGGACCATCTGATGCTTTGTGTATGACATCTGTGTGCCAGTCAGTCTATGAACAAATATAGGAATACCATTAAGGCAGTAGTGTACATGTCTAGAATAACACTTGATGTAGCTTGTCACTTGCATTCTTTTGTAAATATTAAAGGAGAACAATAATTTCCAACAGCCATGCAAACACTGATTGTTAATTAGCCTTACACTATTGCTAAGCAGCGCAGTCTTTGCATTTAATATGTATTAAAAGTGTACGCTAATGAATAAACCCTGATGTTCATGGTTGGGGTCCTGGACAGCCTGGGCCCTCTTTGACAGCTCAAAAACTACTTAGCAATTTAAGTTAGTTTTAGTTTTATCAGCTTGTTTATGACTTTTCCAAATTTAATAAAAGATAGCTCATAAAGATGATTTTGATCGGTTAACATGTTTCAGAAGTCCTATGCAGAAATAACACATTAGTTCTCTTTGGGGTCACATCAATACTTTTCTAAATACTCACATTATAAAGGTCACACGAAAAGAGAAACATAATGAAGAATGAAGGGAAAATATTTCGCTGTTACACATACAGCAGTGGAGTATGTGAAAGTCCAAACAATGAGGAAGTTAAGTCAGTGACATCAAAACACATGGATTAAATAATTTTTCTGAATTATTGAAAAATGTCATCTGTGTAGTGTTCATAAAGGACCACTAGATGTCACCAGAGGGTTACAGGTGTCTGCGTGCAAGATATTCTTTGGAGCAATTTCCATTTTAAATGGCAACCTGTCGAACCAGTTGAAGTAATAGTTCAAAAATCCCACATATTATATCCAATCTAAGCAATATTATTACATCACACATACTGTGGCACATGTGCATGTTTGCTTAGTACAGATTCTGATTTAATTGAGTGTGGCTGGTGTCCTTGCTCAAGTGTGATAACTCAATATTCTGCAGCTGTTGAGAATTACACGGCTGGGCGAGAGGCTCTGTACAGGCTTGTGGTCTGTGGCTCTGTACTGGAATGTCTTCCAGATGCCCCCAAAGCATAACAGCTGGAATGAAATCAGTGCAATGATCTCATCTGTGAGAGGGGTGGAAAATAGGGAAACAAAAGGGGGAAAAAGAGAAGACAGTGATGATGTAATGTGTGTGTGTAGGGATAGAGAAAGAAGGGGAGATGAGGAAAGGACTGGATAGAGGTACAGAAAGGTCAAGCCATATAAAGTGGTAGATTCCTGGCCCTGATCCACAGCTCCTTCTCTCTTATTAAAAAAGCCCTTTGTGATTCTGAGCCACAACAGATTTGTTTGTCTGTATGACAGACCCCTGTGGCATTTAATTTGTTTTGTAGTCTTTCTTAAAGCTTAGGTGGTGTACGTGTGTTTTTGCAAATCCTCTTTGGAATCTCTTAAGAATTTGTGTCTAAAAAGAGAGACTGAATTTGTATGCAGCCTCATGGAACTTTCTCTGACTGGGAATGTCACATACTGTCCTGCAGTTCCTGCTTATCACGTACCTCTTAGCAGAGAACCACTTGTTAATACAAAATCAGATAATAACTGTCAAACTGTCAAGTGAGGACTTTCCAGGATGGTGAATTAGTCCGAAAGCCTTCATTCTTCCTGTATTCTGATCCCACAGAGGGGACACGTAGAGGCTCAGATTTAAGCTCAGTGTTTCAAGTTATGTTCCCTTATGACGTACGTGCTGATGTGCCTTGTCAGTGCAAGCGTCACTTACTCACATACATAGATGCATTTGAATGTAATGTGATGCTTAGCTTAGAGAGAAAAAAGCAAACAAACTACAGTCAGTGACTATGAATCTTTGAACTACACTGAATGAGGTGATCTGAATCAGCAATGTGATTCTAGATTTCAGTGTCTGATGCTAACATACTCACAATGAAAATGCTGATTTTTAACAGGTTTTTCACTGTGCTAATTAGCACTAAATACAAAGTACAGTTGCGGATTATTAGAATGTTAAGAGCTCTGAATTTAGTCATAAACCAAAGTATTGGAGAAATTGACATTTTGACCTCATGGTGGTGACAGGAAAAATCAGGGATCACCGATTAGTAGGATTCATCCTCTGGGAAACACAAATATCAGTTCATGAAATATTTCAGTCTGGATCAAAATGGTGGCGGAATCAGCCAATTGACAGCAGCATTGCCATCCATAAAGCCATGCTAAAAATACAGAAAAGAATATAACTGTTTATCATCATTTAACTTGTTCATTGTGTGTTCAAAGAAAATTCTCCTTGTCAAGGTCTTCCACACTCATGTACAAAATTGAGTTGTTGCCATGTGATTGGCTGATAAGCTATTTGCGTTAACAAGCAATTGAACAGGTGTACCTAATAAAGTGGCCAGTGAGTGTATATTATCTTGTTTCAGATTATAGCTTATATTTTGAACAAAATGTTGTGTTGGAAGTGTACACTGAGGTGATTTTTATTAGACTAATGTATCCATGTTGTTCTTAATTTTTGTAGTAGGATTAAAGACTCTTGTCTTCGAAAGATGA